AAAGTATAAAAAACACCAGGGGTGTAGAATCTTCCAAGCTTCCACTTTTCACGCGCCCGCCCACGAACTTTCCACATTTTTTTAATCGGCTTTCCACAACATGTCCCACGAATTGTAAAAAAGATGACCTTGTTTTCGGTTTTTCGTTGACTTTTGACGGATGACCCTTCAAAATTTTCTCTCATTCCACATTTTCGGGGCTTTTCCACATTTTCACGCGCCCGGGCGGGCGCGTGATCGGGCATTTTCTGCACCCCTATTAAAAATACTGGCAGTAGATAAGATCGTATCTTCGGTTGTCAAGCCGAATGGCTGAATTTCCCGGTTCGATAATTGTTTTATGATTGAATCGGAGAGGAGCTAAAATTGGCACCGTTGGTCATATCTCCACTTGCATATCATTAGCAAAACTGCAGTCCCGAACGAATTGTGACGGATCATTTCGTGACGGTTCTGTCTGGGCGTTCGCGTCTAAATCGGTGAAAATTTAATTAGTGAGCTGAGCATAAAATTTTGATTGCAGAATGGATATAGTGGACAAGGACAAGAGAACATGGACACGCAACGAGCACGAGCCATTAGACTGTAAGTTATAGGGGTTGGTCAGAGGTAACGTGACCACGTCCGCTAGGTGTACCTATCGGTGGTTCTGCATTTATGGTGCAATATTTCTGACAATGAAAAACGGCATTTTCAGCCTTCTGTACATAAAATGATGGCTGGGTTCCACGAGCTTAAGGAGAAACAAAAATGCATGAGAAAACCGTCACAATCCTTGTGCCACATTTAAATGGCCGCACAGTGGATCGAGTCAATTAGAAAGGCCAGACATGACATTTTTCGCTAAAGTTTCAAATTTAGATGTTTATTTCGCCACATTTTAAATTAAAAGAGGTGCTTCTGAAAGAAAATTTTACGAGGAAACCAATGGACTCACTTTTGGAACCTAAAAATTGTGTGTAGACGGAGTTTTAAGCTTTTACAATTTCCGAATTTTGTCCGACCTCCCCTATTGACTCGATCCACTGTGTGCCGTTTCAAATCTGATACAGATACTTAGAAAGATAGAGATTAGGTAATTCGTTGTTTCTCTCACGAAGAATGTAACTACATTTCAATGCTACCAGATTTTCCAGCGCGAATCGCATTTTTACCTGAAGAATTATGAGAATTTCTGACAGAAAATTTCGCGAATTTTTCTAGCAAAAATCGGCCTTTTCGACGTAAATGTGCGGGTTTATTCTAAAAAAATTTAATAGTTCGAGTCAATTAATTTTGCAACCTTAGAATGGAGTTACGCTCCTTTGTGCGGGTATGGCAAAGCGTATACGCATTCGGTTCCACAGTTACTTTAAAATGTCTGTGTTTACGGTTACTTTCAGAAGCTTTTCTTTCGGTCAGATCAACCAAAAGGACTTGGATCGACCAAATTTTCGCTTGAATCGACCGAAGCAGTGGGTTACCCTAATACATGATGAAAATGTTGCCTGTTGAACCGATGTGCTTTGGTTTATCTCAATGTCACTCAAATATAGTTATAGTAGTATAGTAGATATATTAGTTTGGTACTTGCGACTAAACTCGCCAATGTGATTGAGGTTCGGCCCTGGCAGTTTGCGCAAGATTTTATTGGCGAGGTTAAAATTTTTCGACCCGAAGATTTGGTACGAGTATGAAAAATTTGCCAAAAGATATTAATCACGCGTTTAGGTTATCTCGTGGGTTCCTTCCGATATTGACACATAAGTAATGTCCGTTATACTTTTTCTTACTGTACACAATTCGGTGACCAAACGCCTGAAAACTTCACGTATCATCCCCATCACCCTACCTCCGAACTTAAAATTATTGATTGAAAACATCGTGTTGAAAGTTAGTCTCCACGTGAACCCTAAAAGCACAAAACTGCAAAATCCCTGCAATCGTGAGCTGTGCTGGAAAAAAGCACCTCCACGCACAGTTGTACAGAAAAACAAGTGGATAAGGGACATGAAGGGACGATACGGGAGCGTTTCTCTTCCCTTGCGATTCGAAGTTGGCTTCTTGAAGGATAAATTTTGATCACTTTTTGGTTTTTTTTTTTTTACACTTCAAATGCCTCCGAGGGGATAATCCTGCGCTGTTCAGTTTTATTCCCATCCTCCCGCAGTCCCTACTCATTAATCAGCCCCAGGCATATATTATTTGACACCATCAAAATCGAGTGACCTGACCGGGAATCGAAGCCTGTATCTCCTGATTAGAGAGCCACGTGAGGTTTACAAAGGAACTAATTACAATTAATTGATGACAATGATTTTGGATTAATATAAATGTAGTTCCGGATATTTTTGGAATATTTGCCCCCCCCCTCCTCACAG